AGTTCATGAACATTCGACATTTAAGTGGAGAGAGAAAATAGAAGGTCGCAACCAGACTTGTGCAGAGACACCCAACTACCTCAATGCATGGCGGGCATGTGGCTCAGGGAGTTTGGAGAGTTCTGCATTCTGTGTGGAAAAGAGCCGTCTATGTATCGATACAAGAAATGTACACCGGTATAGGGTTCGAACAAAAGAACTTATGAAGTAGAATTTCCAAAGAACACACCCCATTTCTGCAATATTTCAAATAGTTCGCCTCTTTTACGGATTGCATAAACATCGCCTCCGCAGTATCTTTCGCAACAAACTGTAATGTTTCGGGACGAGAACTCGTTGCGAAGTACGGTGGTCAACGAAGAACTACTGAACTGTAGAATAATCGTATATCAATGATTATTGTGACTGTTAGTGTAGGAGAGTCCACAGATGTAAGTTAAATAGTACTCCAATCGGATAGTAAATCTTCAGTTATATTCTATTGCTTTCTAACCATACTTTCTCTATTTCTAGCTTTAAGACATATTCACGAGCTCCCATTTGGTCCAATATCTGTAACTTTGAGTCGTGCAATTTTTTCTAAAGCTTATCGGACAACGGAAAAGAAACCTATCCTTGGTAAATGTACATGAAAATAGATACATCTTGGAAGCATGGGATAGCACGGCTGGCATGAGTTCACTGAGTCGTCTTCTCGTTCTCAATGGATCTCTACCGGTACTGCTGCTTCCCATAGTTTACGAGAAACTTCATAGTTGAACTCTCCCGCCATAAGTTACGCAGTGTAAAACAAAGCCTAGAGATCAATAGATAAGCAATCTCAACGTGACAACACCTTCCAATCGACAATGTTAAGAACTCGTTTAAGAACTCAATATAGTGGAATAAAATATTTTAGGTCTTCTAGAAGGTCTGATACGGTATTTCGAGTGCTATACGTACGTTTCGGCGTTATTCGCACGCGTCATCAGTAAAACATGCCTTTCGGTTTACTCCTACAACCATTAGAAGCGGCGCCGAAGATGTACTACTTCTCGTCAGGTGAAAAGATCTTTTGATGTGGCGTTCTTTCAGAGTAATTGATTGTGGATTGCATGGCGTGCGGCTGTTAAGAGGCAGATGTAACAGTACTATTTGTTGTGGGGGTGAACCGAAATGCATGTTCTACTGCTGAGGCTGTGAGTAACACGAAACCTACGTGTAGCATTTAGAGATGATGTACCAGACATCATGAAAGGCTCAAAATACCCTGTGAGACTAATCTTAACATGATCACCACAAAAATCATTGAGGTTTTTTTCAGTCTAAATGCTATATCAAACCTAAGATGACTGGAAATAGAACTGATGATAATCTTAATTTGTCAGTGATGTTCTAAACGATTCTAGTTGACGTTCATTTCGAGTTTTTTCTTGAGACCACTCTAAAATTTCAACATATCTCATAATTGCGATCTGAGCCAACTTGCCATGTGGTCTGTTAAATGGGCTCTTCTACATATTCTAAATGATTCTCTTTGCGAGGAGGATCCACTCAATATGTCTATGATAACTACTTCTCCGTACTTAGAGAAGTGCGAAAGCCTTCTGATGCCGAGAGCGAAATGCTGATTTCCACTCAATCGAAAACAATATTGAACTTCATATCACCTGCAAGAAACCAAGATCGACGACTTCTACTTTACATAAGTTGTCATCGTATTTATTGTACAGATCTCAGTACTTCTTGCATCTGATTCATTTCCTTGCATCCATTTCACGAAGGCCTTCGTAAGTTCCGTGCGTTGTTGTGGGTTCTGCTCATAGATTTTGTCCTTCGAAATTTTGTTTTCCTTCGATGGTCGACAATTACACCATCTTGACTTCGCTGATGATACTGTACTTATTGTACAAAGCATGAGCCAAATGGGAGGGATGGTGACAGATTTTGACAACGCCTGTGGAAAGATTGGTCTCCGACTAAATCCAAACGAAAACGATGTTTATGAGGAACAAATCGGTTGTGAATCCCCATTCAGGCACAGCGAAACGAACTTCTTCGAATACTCCAGTTATGTTTCTATAGGTCGTGAAATCAACATGCTGAACGATCTAGCTCCAGGATTGAGCAGGACGAAACGATCGGCTTGAGGAGCGTACAAGAGCATCTTTAAGAGCATAAGATCAAGATATTCTATGAGACTAATCTTAACAACGTCACCATGAAAATCGTTGAGTTGTTTTATATTTTGAATGCTCTGTCAGGTCTTAGAAGGCTGGAAACACAATTAAGGATCAAGTCAAATTGTTAATGATATCCTGAAGAATTCTGGTTGCTATGAAGACCCACAAAATGTGTCTATGATAACTACTTGTCCGTACTTAGAGAAGTGCGAAAGCCTTCCGAAATGCTGATTTCCACTTGATCCAAAACAATGTTGAGCTTCATTCACCTGCAAGAGACCCAGATCAACGTTTTTTCCTGCTTTACATGACACTTCATCAAATTTCTTGTACAGATCCGAGCACTTCTTGCGTTTAATTCATTCCCTTACATCCATCTTTTACGAAGGCCTTCGTAGATTCCGTGTGTTCTTTTGCGTTCTGTTTAAAGAGTTTGTCTTTGGAAATTTTGTTTTCTTTCAATGGTCGACAGTTACACCATCTTGACTTCGCTGATGATATCGTCCTTTTAACACCAAGCATGAGCCAGTTGGGACGAAAGCTGACCTATTCCGACAACGCCTGTGGAACGATTGGTCTTGGACTGAAACTAAGGCAAACGATGTTCATGAGGGACGGATGGGTTATGAATGCCCCATTCATGCTCAACGGAACGAAAATCTCTAAATGCTCCAGCTACGTCTAAGTCGTGACATCAACATGATGAACGACTTAGCTCCAGAGTTGAGCAGGGGAACCGAGTGGCTTGGGGAGCATCTAAGGCCACCGAAGACGAAGTGAAGAGAACGAAGGGCATACGACTCCGCGCCCACCTTTTCGTGTGAACAACGATTATCTCTCCCTCAACACATCCATCAGATACCTGGCCGTTACGTAAGCAGGATGAAAGATCACTTGGCATTACTGAACGCGCAGTCGAAAGGTCGACGCTAGGAGTATCCCATATCTCGCAAATGAGAGAAAGGATCCGAAATTCTGACCTACGTCATCGATCGAAGATCAAATACGCCGTTTAACATGCCCGGCCATCGAGAATAAGGTGGGCTGGACGCGTGCTGCGCTTTGACGACAACCGATGGACGAAAGCCGTTACCGGCCGGATTCATCGGGATATCAAGCGCTCTACAGGAAGACCACCGACCCGATGGTCCGATTTCTTCACGAAAGGCAGAGAAGAAAGATATGATGCTCGATGAGTTCCTAGAGCGAGGAGGATCCACTGGGCTACTCTTGCACGCGACGGGGAAAAATGGAAATGTTGCTGGTACCCGCTTGAGTCACTCGACGACCAACGGGACAACAGGTCATACAGGTGGTAATTAAAGGCATATGGACACTCAACGACTAAATGTAACAGTCACTCTTCTTATTCCTTTACAGCTTTATTTGGTTTTTTTTGGTTATAAGGGAACAAATGAATATTCGACCTCACTCGCAGTCAAAAATTTTTTCATAAGAAAAATAGTAATCATTCGAAAGCTTGAATCTCTGGCTAGAGCCGTACGTGGGCGCTAATCAAAAAGACCCTTTTATGACGCTGTAACGTTCAAAATAAAATTATGTTTTACATTGGCTGCGCAATTTAACAATAGTTTCGCTGGAAGCACGAAAAGCACATTAACGTGTAGAGAAAATCTTTCAGTATCGAAGTCAGACCTTTAATCTGGAGTTTCGAGAAACCATCACAATTTGAATAGCAAAATTTATACCGTTCTATGGCCCGCGGGAGAGCCAGTCGATCGAGCGGCGTGTTGAAAAGGCTACATCCAACCTGCGCCCCACCCCCGCTCCTCTTCCCCCTCCCCTTACCCCGTAGAAAAGCCAAAACCCCTTACCCACGATCACTCGATCTTACATTCCCTGTTGCACTACAGAGAAACGGTCCTTCCAGAAAATAATCATAGCGTTGAAATCCTTGAATCCTTCGCTATCGAATGACTACTAATAGCCTAAAAAAAGAGTTCTATCCGACGAGAAATACGCGCATGTGAAACATAAATTTTATTTTGAACTTTACAGCGTTATTAAAGTCTTTTCGAAAACCGTCCGCGTTGGGCTCTAGCCAGATATCTGAGTTTTCGAATATGTACTAACACTCCTATGAGAAATTCTTTTACAGCAAGTGAGATCGAATATTCATTTATTCCCTTATACCGAAAAGTACCATTTGCTTTTCTTAGAAGCATCAGCTGTGTCAAGTGAGGAGCTGAAAGAGAAAGTTCCTCAACTAATTAACGAGAAGACAAATACAGACGCTTGAACCTCTATATGTTTGAGAAAAAAAGTCCGGAACGTAACGAAAGCTCACTTAAAAAACCTCATTCTCTTTAGAATGCCGTTGAGCTTGGCTCAGCTCAAATGTTCTCATATTCAATATGCCTTGCAATCATTTTCACCACTGACATGCGTGGCTCCAAAATGATTGCAAGGCATATTGAATTTTGAGCTGTGGTCTTGAGAAAACACTCGAAACGAAGGTTATGATATATTGTTCTCAGATTGTATAAATCCTCTCCAAAAATCTGAAACTTTCGAAGAATTCATATTCAGAAGCCACATATTTTGAAGTAAAGACCACTAAACAGCCCTATATAACCGAAAAAATGTCTCGAAAATCATTTCGGCAATCGAAAACCCCAAGCAAACTTGCTGTAGTCATAAAAGCTGACATAATCACAAGGAACTATTCAACATCACAGGTGATTTCGCATCTGAGACGCGAAAGATTCGCGCACACCACCACATCCACAAATCGCCTGGGCGCTCCACACACGCACGACAAATTACTCATAAGTTTCTTGCTCTGTAGGTTAGAGTTCTTACTTCTTTTTGATCAAGAACTCCCGTGGTGCAGTGGTTAGCGCGCATCCTGGAAGACTCGGATGCGGGTTCAATTCCCGCCCGAGTCGTAACACCGCTATCAAAGCGGTAAAATAAAGGACTCTTTTGGATTACTTCTTTTTTTTTAATCTGGCCTACTACCTCATCTTACTAGTTGCTCTGCTCACCTGAATCGCCAGGTACTCATAAATCCCTTTCCGAACGAAGTTATCACTGCTTATCAGCTGCATGTCAGGTCAGAATTCGTCGCTCTTTGTCCACCCTTCTTATCGTTCTTCCCCATATCACCCCTTCCAGTAGTCGAAATCGGCCCTCCACATCTTTCTGTTCCTCCTCTTGACCAAATCTATCGAAGGTTGGTGGCTGGCAGCTATGGTAGCAATATATCGAAGAAATACTGATGGCAAACAGGTGACCTCGGCTGCGTCGTGGATGCACGTGCCCCGATATGGGTAGAATACGGGTTCGGATCCCGTCGAGGTCGAGTTTTTGTTCACCACTCAATTCTCTTAGGTGTATTTGGAAGATCAAAACAGAAAAACACAAAAATCTAATTTTTGTTATTCCCCATTGCATTGGAGAACCTGCTGTTATTTATTTTCGCCATTTCATCTTTGCGATATATCCATCAAGGCTTCTTTCTGATTAGGAGGTAACAAATAAAAAATCGATCTTATTCGCTGGAGAAGAATTTTTCATGGGAGTATTAGCAACCATTGGAAAGCTGAGACTTGTGGCTACAGCCCCACGTCGCCGGTATTTCAAAACACTCCTTCATAACATTGTAACATTTAAAATAAATTCATGTTTCAAAAGACCATGTCTTTTTTTTCCCTATCTCGCTTATATTTCGCTGGACAAAACTCCTACACATTGATGTGGTTTTCAGCTCGATCTGAATGCTACAACGTCATAAAAGGGTTTTTGAAAACCGGCGAAGTGGGGCGGTAGCCTCAAGTCTTAGATTTCGAATGGTTACTTGCACTCCTACGAATAACTCTTCTTCAGCGAATGAGATCGGTTTTTCATTTGTTCCCTCCTATTCAGAAAGAACCCCATTGATGTTGAGCGATACGCAGAGCTCTGAAGCTCAGGTATGGATTGAACCTGCATCTCACCCTTTCCGAGAGCGCGTGCAACCACTGCATTATCGCGGCTCCTGTGCTGACACAACTTTTTCTGCAGTACAAGGTATAGATTCTGTCGGTAACAGAATGTAAACGGTTTGGTCTGGCAGGCTCAGATCGGCATTGAACCCAATTACGCTGACAGCCATCAGATATACTCAGTGATAGAAAAAATGGTGACAAAACAGGCGTCGATTGTGCAACGGGTTAGAGCACGCGTTCCCGGATAGGGTTGGATGCGGGTGTGAGTCCCGCTGATGCAAAGGTCTTGCACATCACTCTACATCATTGGGTATATTTATAGCATCATACCAACGCTAAAAAACAGTTAAATCAAAGGAATTCTCATAGTTATTATATATATATGTATATCTATATATATATCTATCTATATATATATATATATATATATATATATAATATATATATTATATATATATATATATATATATATATATATATAATATATATATATATATATATATAGCTTAGCTGGGCTTTGCGAGTGGTAACATCGAACTCTTTCTCAGATTGGGTGGCTCTGCAGGGGTTGAACCGCCCGCTGTACTTTTCAGTGCGATACACAGAAACATCTCCCAGCCACGATGAGCCGGTAAAACACTGGGGAGGATATAATATGTATATGTATGTGTATATATATACATATATATTTACATCTATATATGTATAGATATACATCTATAAATGTATATATATATTTATATATATATGTATATATATATATAATATATATATATATATATAACATCTATAAATTCTTCTGATGTTGACTCGTTGTCATAGATGCCTCCTCAAAACATTCGTAAATTAGAGGGCTTACTTTTCATCTTTATCCTCTATATTGGTGTCATGTGTTCGGAGAAGAGCGCATGTGGCGCAGTGGTTAGAGCTGCCCTGCGTCGCACACGAGGTCACTGGTTCGATCTCGCGCTCATGGCTCACCAAGCCATCCATCCCTCCGGGGTCGGTAAATTGGTACCAGACAGGTCTCAGACTTGTCTGGGAGGATAAGCAGCACTGACTTGGTTCAGCGGGAGGCCATTGCGAGTCATTGTAAAGGCCAGATGTGCATTCAATCACCTCAAACGAAGTTAAAAATTGAAGTCGATTGCATGGCGCATCCATCAGGGATTGATCAACGCCGAGATCTTTTATCTTTTCAAAGCTTTATGTTCGGAGAGTTCACTATCCATTCATTCACCTCCATGATTGAACATCAGTACAAATTTTTTTCGAACCAGTTATTCTTCGCATTTAATATTCTGAAAAGGACCTCTATTCGTAGGTTTTTCTCTGTTTTTCAGGCGCCCACGAAACGAATGCTGTAAGTTAATATGAGTATCGCAGAAAGAGCCATATCAGAAGAGCAGAATAGGAGCACCGGCGGTAGTGCAGTAGTCAGCAAATGCCCCGGAAAGAGGGAAATACGAGTTCGGTTCTCGTCTGAGGTTCAAAGTTTTGCCTATCACTTACTGACGCGGTTAGAGCGAATTCTTGTAGAAAGTATTACTTGTCGTCCCGTTGATCGTCTAGTAATTTGAGCGGGCACCAGGAACACCTCCATTCTTCTCTATCGCGTGCCAGAGTTGCCCAGCGGGTCCTCGTCCTCCTCGCTCTAGGTATTCGTTGAGTATCATGTCTTTTTTCTGTCTTTTCGTGGAGAAATCGGACCATCAGGTCGGTGGTCTTCCTGGAGAGCGTTTGATATCCGGAGTAATGCAGTCGCAACGGCTCTCGTCTATCGGTTGTCCTTGAAGCGCATCACGTGTCCGGCCCACCTTATTATCGATATCGTGACGTGTAGAGTGGTGTCTTTGATCTTTGATCGTTGACGTGCGTCGGAACTTTGGACTTTTCCTCTCATTTGCGAGATGTGGGATACTCCTAGCATCGACCTTTCGACTGCGCGTTCAATACGGCAAGTGATTTTTTATCCTGCATACGTAGCGATCCAGTTTGTGCTGCATACGTTAGGGCAGGGATAATTGTCGAGTCGAAAAGGATGGGCACGAAGTCGGATGTTCTTTGTCCTCTTCACAACATCTTCGATACTCTCAAGCGATCTCCACGCCGCTCGTTTCCTCCTGCTCAAACTCTGGAGCTAGGTCGTTCATTATGTTGATTTTACGACCTAAACAGTTGTTACTAGAGCATTTGGAGATGTTCGTTTTGTTGAGCGTGAATGGGTAATTAAAACCCATCCGTTCCTCATAAACATCGTTTTCGTTAGATTTAGTTGAAAGCGAATCTTTCCACAGGGGTTGTCGAAATTGGTCAACATTCGTTCCGCTTGACTGATGCTTGGTGTCATAAGGACGATATCATCAGCTAAGCGGAGATGTTTTAATGTCAACCGTCAATTTACACCACCATTCCGTCCCATTCTAATGCTCGCATGACATTTTGGAGGGTGGCAGTGAATGATTTTTGCAAAATGTATCGTCTTGTCGAAACCCCCTTCTTGTGTCGATGGTGATATCGTTGTAATGGAGACATTTTGGTTGTGATATCTTTCTTCTATTGTTGTTCAAAAAGGGAGACCTTCACGACATAGGCAATTATCGCCCAATCTGCTTGCTGTCCGTTGTCTATAAACTCTTTACTCGAGTCATCCTGAACAGGATTGACAGAACACTGGACGAAGGACAGCCATGCGAACAAGCAGGGTTCAGAAAAGGATTTAGTACCATGGACCACATCCACACGATCACAAGACTCATTGAAGTTTCGCGAGAGTACAAACAACCACTCTGTCTCACTTTTATCGATCTGAAGAAAAGCCTTTGACTCAGTGGAAACAGAAGCGGTTATAGAGGCTCTGGATAACCAGGGCGTCCCTACTCGGTACATAATGATCCTTCGTGAGCTTTATAAAGATTTCACGACCAGAATATCTCCATTCTACAATAATATCACCATTGACGTAAGAAGAGGGGTTCGACAAGGCGATACAATATCGCCAAAACTATTCACTGCCACCCTACAAAACGTCATGCGAACATTAGAATGGGACGAAATGGGAGTGAAAATTGACGGTCGACAATTAAACCATCTTCGCTTTGCTGACGATATCGTTCTCATAACACCAAACATCAGCCAAGCGGAACGAATGTTGACTGATTTCGACAACGCCTGTGGAAAGATCGGTCTTCAACTGAATCTAACGAAAACAATGTTCATGAGGAACGGATGGGTTTCTAATGCCCCATTCACGCTCAACGGAACGACAATTTCCGAATGCTCCAGTTACATCTATCTAGGTCGTGAAATCAACATGATGAACGACCTAGCCCCAGAGTTGAGCAGGAGGAAACGAGCGGCTTGGGGAACGTTTAAGAGCATCGAAGATGTAGTGAAGAGGACAAAGAACATCCGACTCCGTGCCCACCTTTTCGACTCGACAATTATCCCTGCCCTAACGTATGCAGCAGAAACCTGGTCGCTACGTAAGCAGAATGAAAGATCACTTGCCGTTATCGAACGCGCAGTCGAAAGGTCGATGCTAGGAGTATCTCGTATTTCGCAAATGAGACAAAGGATCCGAACTTCCGACCTACGTCAACGATCGAAAATCAGAGACGCCGTTCTACACGCCAGGATATCGAAAATAAGGTGGGCCGGACACGTGATGCGCTTCAACGACAACCGATGGACGAGAGCCGTTACCGACTGGATTCCTCGGGACGTCAAGCGCTCTAAAGGAAGACCACTGACCCGTTGGTCCGATTTCTTCACGAAAGCGATAGAAGAAAGATATGATGCTCAGCGAATTCCTAGAGCAAGGAGGACCCACTGGGCTACTCTTGCACGCGATAGGGAAAAATGGAAGAGTTGCTGGTACCCGCTCGAGTCACTCGACGATCAACGGGACGACAGGTGATACAGGTGATCTTTCTACAGCTCACAAAGAACCACTATGTACCGAGTGGGGACGCTCTAATTATTCAGAGCCTCTATAACCGCTTCTGTTTACACTGAATCAAAGGCTTTCTTCAAATCGATGAAAGTGAGACAGAGTGGTTGCTTGTACTCTCGTGAAACTTCAATGAGTCTTGTAATCGTGTGGATGTGGTCTGTGGTACCAAATCCTTTTCGGAACCCTGCTTGTTCGCATGACTGTCTTTCGTCCAGTGTTCTGTCAATCCTGTTTAGGATGACTCGAGTGAAAAGTTTATTGACAGCGGACAGGAAGCAGATTGAGCAATAATTGCATATGGCTTGAAGGTCTTCCTTTTCAAACAATAAAACGCTCTTTCTGGTTTTCCATTGATTGGGAACCTTGCATTCTGACAGGTAGCGAGTGAAGAGCCGAACCAAGGTGTTGATGAGAACTGGCGTTGGGTTCTTCAGGTGTTCTAGTCTAATTCTGTCTGGACCAGGTGTTTTTCACCGACGATATGGCATGCCTGATTTCGGCAGGCAACTTATATGACGGTAAGAAAGTGTTGCCACATTATTGAGGGAAGTTTGTAGTGCTGTAGTCTTCCCGACAAACAGTCATTGGTTCGACTCCGCTCCGCGCACTCCAGTCAAGTTCCACTTCGACGAACACGCAAGGTGGAACCGAATGAAGTCTGAGAGATGAAAAATAGTGACCCAGGTTTTCATGGGCTGTTTCTGTAGACCGAACTTGCAGTCATCGTTTTTAGATTCAGTGGTATGAGACACCTTTCAAGGAATGGTTGGTCAACTCCTCATTCTGTCCTCCAGATTCTTAATGAGGTTCTCGTGGATTTACGACCACCATCGCTAGCTTTCGATAACTTCCTTGCTCTGCCTGAGCATAAAAATATCATTTTCTCTACGATCTTACAAATCTAATCCAGTGAGAGCTAAGAATGTGTTCCGATTTTTCCCCCAGTTCAACACGTAGCGAAGCGGGGCAGTTTCGTTACATAGGTGATAACTTCCTTTCAAATGCTTTACCGCTTAATCGTGGCTGGGAAGTGTTCCTGAGTGTCGGACTGCGAAGTACAGCAGAGGGTCCAATTTCCTAGCCGGGCCACCGATGCTGCGAGGAATGCGACGGTTTCACCCGGAAAGTCCCGCTAAGGGTAAAGCGTACCATGAATCACCGTGGTCTTGGTAGCTACTAGTAGCAAGATGGTAATCTCGCTCTGATCCAGAAGAGCTGGCGACATTCTTATGTAATAACGACCTGGGCAAGACCCGGCTAGGCTTGCCCTGGGACTCCAGGAAACAAAACAACTAAACTAACACATAATTTTTGTGCTGGGCTCGCAGTCTCAGTGAAGACGGGCCATCGCCATCCAAGTATCCCACCAAGGTGATACCTCTAAGTCAAGTCTCACTGTGCGTTTCATGGTGAATTGGTACCAGACTTGTCTGGGAAGATACTAGCTGTGACGTGGTACATCGCTAGCTCACTATGAGTCATTTCAAAGGCCTGATGTGCATTCAATCACCTCTAACGATGCTACGACTAGAGTCGAATGCATGGCTCATCTCTCAGAGATTAACCAACACCGAGAGCTTTGTCCTTTGGAGCTTCAACCACTAAGTTTTTGTTATCAATGCTAGATGTCTTTGAAATCCGCGATATCAGAATATCTCTGCTTTACTTCCTTGCCTGTTTTTCCACTGTACATTCAGATCTATCTTTTTTTTTCTACAATCCTTCACCGTCATCAAAATCTCTTTAATTGTTCCCTGAAATCTTCAAAAAATTGCTAATTCGCATTGTAGCACTCCAATGGAAAACGGTGTTGTGGAACAATGTATGAACGGAATGGGAGCAAAAACAGATGATATATCGGACGATTTAGGGAATCTGCCGTTACAGAAAGAAAAAAGCAAGTTTCCTATGAATCCTCATTGTCTTCCTTACCAGGTTTCTAATCTTTTGCACATTCTCCAGGCTCGAGAAAAAGGAATGATTATCTTTCGTGGGAAGACTATTTATTGAGTTCGACGACGACAAAAGGTTGGTTGCTGACACGTACGATAGGATATATCTAAGAAAGAGTGCTTGCAAAGCGGTGAACTCTGGGATGTAGTGGTAGCATGCGCCTCCGCTGTAGCTAATACGCGGGTTCAACCCCTATTTGGGATTAAAGGTTTTGGATACCAGTCAGCATTACTGGACGATGTAACAGTTTTGTCTGGAGAATGCCATGTTAAAATAAAACTAATGGCACTAGACTTCATATTGATATAGGTGTTTTGAGTGATGTGCGTTGTCCTCAGTGGTAATCTAATACCTTCTCGTTTTGTGATACGCATAAGGTATTCTGATTTTGTGGAGAATCGGAGCATTGTTTTCCACTTTGCGTAGAAAAACCAGAAAACTCGATTACCAATTGGAGATAGTTCAGTATCCCCATTTAAAATCCTCATCGGCATAGTTTCGTGCGCTAAATCAGAGAAAAGAGTGACAGCAGAAGAGAAGCCCTGGTATGTGCGGTGGTAAAAAAGCGCCTCTGGAAAGGGTGAGACGCGAGTTAAACTCCCGCCCAAGGTTCAAAGTCTTGCATATCACTCAGAATTAATGAATATATGGCTATAGTCATACCTCTGCTAAGGGAGCGCTTTGACAGGAAAATTCTCATCGATTATATGTCTCTTTACAGTCACATTTGGCTGAAGTGGTGTTCCTTAACGTACGCCAAGGATCGTGGGAAGTTGACGCCACTAAGAGAATGTTCGATCTTGCTGGAGTAAAATATCGTCGATTCGAGACGAAGCTAGAATCTGTTACTATCGAATTTTCGTAACGAGTGTTAATCTAGTAAGAACTTATTTATTGCTGTTTTTCGCCGTTCATATTACAGCTCACTATGTTGCCTTCTAGGTGCTGTTCCTGTTTGTTCTGGTTCTTTTTTTTACTAATTGTTCTGTTCATTGTGGAACACGGTAATAGATGTTTAGTAACTTCTCTTAGGTCTAATTTTCGCCTTTAGACCTTTCTTGAGCTCAAGATTCACTTTCGTTCTGAAGATTTATACATGTGGATTATGAACAGTGACAGTACATATATGTACAAAATTATCAGGATAGGCAAGATTTTTACCTAAATATGTTAAAGGTGTTTCCATTGGAAGAATGACACCATGTGATATAAATTGGTATTTTTCGTCCTGTAACAAATCAGAGGACAGCGAGTTCAGTGCATTGTACAAAGTTCGAGGTTCTCCATTCTCATGGAATGGTGGTTGTAGAATCTAGAACTGCGATCTGATCGACTGTTAATGTTGCACTTTCCTGATTCTTTGAAGAAACTTGCAGAACATACCTGTCTAAATGGTTTGCCGATAGTATAGAGCCTTACAGGAATGTCATGGAATGGTCGTTCATCGGTAAATTCCATAAGACGTCGATTTACGCTCCAGAAGTCATCGAAACGATCTAAAAATGTAGGGAGTGAAGCACGAAAAAAAAATCGGTGTCGTTTGCCTAGATACCATGCACGAGACTCCCCCATAGTTGCTTGTGTTCATCCATCTTCATTGTGCTAACAATCTGTAACACACACATATAGTAGTCAATATGACAATGAGCACAATGGACTCATCAGACAGGTCGGTACGTCGGTTTCTCACATAAGTTCCGGCGAAATTGTCCGCCTCATCAGAGCCAAACGCCCCTTACTGAACGGTACTTTAGAAGAGGGAAAGGGAAACGTGCTTTCACCAAAACGTCTCCCCATAACTGCTGTAAAAGGGTTCAGTGTGAGGCTTGTGGCTCTGATGAAGCTGGCGATACCGCCAAAACTACGTAGCCACTGAAGTATTAACCTCAAAAACGGTGCGAACATTCTCACAAACTTCATTGAATAATTATAACGAGGTTTAAACACAGTCGATTGGAAGACAATGTCACAAGCGGGTTCGGAAACCCCTCTGATAAACCAAGAGTTTCTCAAAATAGCAATTATCTCGCTGCTTGTTCTTACAGAGTTTGTGGGTACGAACTACACTGACTATGTAACCAAGCAAATTATGACCGCGGAATAAGTTATTAGATCCTCATTCATGCCTAAACAAAAGACAATCCAGTCGATACCGACTGAAGTCCTGGAGATGTTAAACGCATCACAGAATGACCACCACTCCGGTAGTTTGACTTCCACACGAAAAGCTGGAAGAAAGATATGATGCTCAAGGAGTCTCGTCATCGAGGGAGACCCATTGGGTTCCCCTTGCAAGCGGAAAAATGGAAGGTTTGCAGGTGTTCACTCGAGTAACTCGACGATGAGTGGGATGACAGTGTTACAACATCAGTAAGAGCCAATCATATTTGCATGAATAAAACGCATTTAACTTTAAGCTTTTTACTATGTCTAAAATTTTGCTCCAAAAGCTGTGGATCATGGACATTCGGCACTTAACATGGTAACATGTTTGTTCCTGCTATGGGGTCTGATATGGCACTTATACAGTACTAAACAGCTACTGACTGTTTCGTCGTTCCAGACTCATCAACAGCACAGTGCCTACATGATCAGCCGATCCCTTGAGGGAGGGGGACTCGTACATTAAAGTACGGACGCCGACTGCCAGATCGCCGCAAGTCAAGTGACAAAACCTCCCGACACTGCAGTGACCACTTTCGAGTACTTGTGGCTGGTAAAATGAATAACACATCGACTCTCGACTATTTATATAGACCTCACGATAGCCATAAGCGCTCGACTATAGTCACTGCAATGTCGAGGATTTTGTCAAGTCACTTGCGGTGATCTGGTATTCGACGTCGATTCCTTTATGTGAACGAGTATATGGTATCATCTGTCGTCCAGTTGATCGTCGAGTGACTCGAGCAGGTACCACCAACACTTCCATCCTTAACGCGTGCAAGAATGGGCCACTGGGTCCTCCTCGCTCTAGGGATTCGCTGAGCATTATATTTTTTTCTATACCTTTCGTGAAGAAATCGGACCAACGGGTCGCTGGTCTTCCTGTAGAGCGCATGATGTCCCGAGGAATCCAGTCGGTAACGGCTCTCGACCATTGGTTGTCGTTGATGCGCATCACGTATCCGGCCCACCTTATTTCGATATCTTGGAGTGTAGAACGGCGTTCCTGATCTTCGATCGTTGACGTAGGTCGGAACTTCGGATCCCTTCTCTCATTTGCGAGATACGGGTACTCGTAGCATCGACCTTCCGACTGCGCGTTCAATAACGCCATGTGATCCTTCATCCTGCTTCCGTAACTACCAGGTTTCTGCTGCATACGTTAGAGCAGGGATAAACCGTCGAGCCGAAAAGGTGGGCACGGAGTCGGATATTCTTTGTCTCTTCACTACACCTTCAATGCTCTTAAACGTTCCCCAAGCCGCTGGTTTCCTCCTGCTCAACTCTGGAGCTAGGTCGTTCATCATGTTTATTTCACGGCCTAGACAGGCTCAACTGGAGCACTCGGAGATTGTCGTTCCGTTGAGCGTGAATGGGGCATTCAAAACCCATCCGTTCCTCATGAAGATCGTTTTCGTTAGATTTAGTTGAAGACCAATCTTTCCACAGCTGTTATCGAAATCGGTCAACATTGCTTCCGCTTGGCTGATGTTTGGTGTTATGAGAACGATATCGTCAGCAAAGCGAAGATGGTTTAATTGTCGACCGTCAATTTTCACTCCCGTTTCTTCCCATTCTAATGTTCACATGATGTTTTGTAGGGTGGCAGTGAATAGTTTTGGCGATATTGTATCGCCTTGTCGAACCCCTCTTTTTATGTCAATGGTGATATTCTTGTAGAATGGAGATATTTTGGTCGTGAAATCTTTATAAAGCTCACGAAGAATCATTATGTACAGAGTAGGGACACCCTGGTTATCCAGAGGCTCTACAAGTACGAATATATAGTATGTGCCCAAGAAATCAGTTGAACGGAAAGGCACTGTACTACTGATGAGCCTGGAAGAGCGTAACAGCAACTGTCTAGTATTGTATAAGTGCCGTTCCAGACCTCATAACAGGCTCGAGCATGTTATCACATTACCAGGTAATCACTGTTTTGAGCGAAGTCTTTATAAATAGTCGAGAGAAGAGGTGTGATTCGGCACTTAGTCGGGGAAAGGAAATAACAGGTCGCAACCCAACTCGTGCACAGATACCTCCATGCATGGCGGGTGTATGGCTCAGGAGGTTTGGAGAATTCTTTAAACCTGCACTCTGTATGGAGATGAGCCATCTATGTATAAATACTGAAAATGGTACAGCGTTATGAAGGCTCAAATTTTTGGAGAACAGACCTCATTTTTTCGATATTTCAAATAATTCGCCTCCTTTACAGATTGCATAAACATTGCCTCCATGGTGTCTTTCGAAACAAACTGTAATTCTTCTGGACGAGAACTCGTTCTGAAATATGGTAGTCAATGAAGAAAAATGTTGCACCCTAGAATGATCGGCATATTACTGACTTTATTGTAACTGTTAGCGTAGGAGAGTCCACAGATCTATGTAAGTCAAATAGTACTCCAATCGGATAGTAAATCTTCAGTGGTATTCCATTGCTTTCTAGCCATACTTTCTCTATTTCTAGCTTTACGCCATGTTCACGAGCTCCCATTTGTTCCAATATCTGTAACTTTGAGGTACGAGGTTTTTCTGAAGTTTATTGGACAGCAAAGAGGAACATACCCTCGGAAGATGAATAGGAAAATAGCTACACCTTGGAAGCATGACATAGCACGGCTGGCATGCGTCTATTGAGTCGTCTTCTCGTTCGGAATAGATCTCCACCGGTACTGCTGCTTCCCATAGTTTACGAGAAACTTCGTAGTCGAACTCACCCGCCATATGTTACCAGTGCAAAAGAAAACCTAGAGATCAATAGATAAGCAATCTCAACGTGACAGCACCTCCAATCGACAATGTTGAGACTTCGATTAAAAATTCAATATAGTAGGATAAAACATTTTAGGTCTTTTAAAAGGTCTGCAACGGCATTTCGAGTGCTATACGTACGTTTCGACGTTATTCGCACGAGTCATTAGCAGCACATGCCTTTCGGTTTACTCCTATAACTATTAGAAGCGGCGCCGAAGATGCACTACTTCTCGTCAGGTGAAAAGATTTTTTGATGTGGCGTTCTTTCACAGTGATTGATTGTGGTTTGCATGGAGTGCGGCTGTTACGGAGCATATGTGATAATAGTATAAGTTGTAGAAGTTAGGTGTTTCCATAGTCTGAATGCTCTGTCAGGTCTTCGAAGGCTGGAAACACAATCAAGGATCAACTCAAATTGTCAATGATGTCCTAAAGAACTCTGGTTGCTATGAAGACCACAAAATGTGTCTATGATGACTACTTGTCCGTGCTTAGAGAAGTACGAAAGCCTTCCGAAGTGCTGATTTCCACTTGACCGAAAACAATATTGAGCTTCGTGTCACCTGCAAGAGACCCAGATCGACGTTTTTTCCTCCTTTACATGACACTTCATCACATTTGTTGTACAGATCCGCGTACTTCTCCCGTTTGATTCATTTCCTAGCATCCATCTTTTACGAAAGCCTTCG